CATGGGAGGGGAGGGGATGGGATGACATGGGAGGGGATGGGATGGGATGACATGGGTTGGATGACATGGGATGGGATGACATGACATGGGAGGGGAGAGGATGGGATAAGATGGTAAAGAACAAGAAAGGTCCCACTCTGATCTTCAAAACGGCTGAGGGATAGGTGAGGCATAGCAAGCTAGGAGTACAAAGGTGTCTTCAGTGATGGGACAGGGACTTAGTAGCTTTTTACCCTAACTCAGGTCATTTGCCCTGCTGATGAGGACGCAATTGTCCCACCTCTTATAACAAACAAGTTTAAGCAAAAATACAGCCACTCATGCCCACAGGTCTAGATCAATCCAAACAGTCATTTATAAGTTACTCATGAGGATAAGTTTTACCTGTGTTTGAAAAGAAGTTTTACTCTCAAAAAAAGGTAAAATACTTTCCTTATATAATAATGGAAACACAGAAATACAGAAAGAAAAGACAATATGTTTCTTTATGACATCTTCTTAATGTTTCAATGACATTTAAAATGTTAAATTGGATTCATACTAAAAACCATGTTGAGGCTATATTCAGTTAAAAACATGAAAAATATTTCTCAATATCATTAAATATTCTTCAAAAACAACACTTTGATCTTTGCATTGAGCCACACAAGATGAATACACCCTTGGCTGAGCCTGGCGTTTGGGGCCTCCGCATTGTGAGAGCTAAGCGTGAACACCCTTGGTATCGTCTTTTCATGTCTGTGGACAGGTAAATGTCTGAAAGAGGAGCCCTGGGGCACACCTCTCTGGCAGAGTGTTACACACCCACCTCCCTGGGAAGCTCCAACTCTGCACTCAGGAACACTGGCTTTATCACTTTGTAAAATTTTGCAAATACATAGAAGAAAAATGCATATTTCACTGTGGTTTTTCTTTGCATTCTTTTGATAACTCTGGTATTGACTCAGCTCTACTCACAAGGGCCAAGATATCCATCAGGGATGGATGGAAAGGAAAGTGCAGAGCATTCACACAGCAGAATGCAACCAACCCTTAGGAAAGGCAAGTCGGTCCTGGCGACTGGATGGGTGGACATGAAGCCACCAAGCCAACGGGAGATGAGTCACTCAGACAGGAAGAGACAGTGTGTGATTCCACTCAGAGAGGTATTCAGCCCTCACAGGGCAGACAGAATAACAAGAGCCAGGACCAGGGAGTTTCAGGTACACAGGGAAATGAGCTCCAGAGACCTAGAACTCGCCAGTCAGCCACCTGCAGGTGCCCTGACACCTAGGAGGGCGGGTCTCCTGGGACATCAGCCACCATAAAGGTGAACCTACACCTAGGAGGGCGGGTCTCCTGGGAAGTCAGCCACCTGCAGGTGCACCTGCACCAAGGAGGGAGGGTCTCCTGGGCCTTCAGCCACCCCTAGGTGCACCTACACCTAGGAGGGAGGGTCTCCTGGGAAGTCAGCCACCCACAGGTGCACCTATACCTAGGAGGGAGGGTCTCCTGGGACATCACCCACCCACAGGTGCACCTACACCTAGGAGGGAGGGTCTCCTGGGATGTCAGCCACCCACAGGTGCACCTATACCTAGGAGGGCAGGTCTCCCTGGATGTCAGCCACCCTCAGTTGCACCTACATCTAGGACAGCAGGTCTCCTGGGACGTCAGCCACCCTGCAGGTGAAACTACACCTAGGAGTGGGGGTCTTCTGGGACTTCAGCCACCTTTCAGGTGCACCTACACCTAGGAAGGAGGGTCTTCTGGGACATCAGCCACCCAGCAGGTGCATCTACACCTAGGAAGGAGGGTCTCCTAGGAGGTAAGCCACCCTCAGGTGCACCTGCACCTAGGAGGGCGGGTCTCCTGGGCCTTCAGCCACCCCTAGGTGCATCTACACCTAGGAAGGAGGGTCTCCTAGGAGGTAAGCCACCCTCAGGTGCACCTACACCTAGGAGGGCGGGTCTCCTGGGCCTTCAGCCACCCCTAGGTGCTCTCTGGCAAGTACTCTGACACAATAGAACTGTTTTAAACAAGAAAAAATTCTAAGAAGATCACACCCATCTTCATGCTTGTGGTCCAAGAACAATGGTGACTTCACAGCTTCAGGACAGACGCTCACAAAAGGGAGAAGAAAAGGAGATGAGAGAATTCGGAGTAAACGCTGGAGCCCTGCCTCTGGTGTCCTGATGAGTAAGCAGCCAGGAAGGGGAAGGGGCCGCTGAGGCCGCCGCCCTCGTAAACCCCTCCCCAGGACACGCAGGGCTGTGGAGGGCACCCTGGCAGGACCTGGAGGAACATCTCCCTCTGGGATGGTGTGGGGCGTGGAGGTGTGTTGAGAGAGGAAGTAAGGGCACCACGCAGTGTGATGAGCACGCCTCAGCACAACAGTGAGACCCAGCCACAGGCAGAGCAGAGGGACAGCCAGTCTGGAACCGAGTTGGGGGACCCAGCAGCTGACAAACAGGCCTCCCATTTGAAAAAGGTGGAAACTGCCTGCAGGTGACAGCAGCAGGTCACCAGGCTTCCCAGGGAGGAACTGCCCTGGCTCGGGGGCACTGTGGGCTGTGGCAAGTGCCACAGCAGGCATGCTTGGGAGAGGCCACCCCTGCACAGCTGGGCCTGTGGCTGCCCCACACTCTGCGTGGCAGAGTGTCCCCGGAACTGCAGGATCTGAGCAGGAGGGCAGGAAAATGCCTGGCCAGCAGCAACCTTGAGGCTCACAGCTGGATGGCCCTCTAAAAGAATGGCCACAAAACCCACAGGGCCACGGAGGGGACGGACATCATGGAGGAGAAGGTCACCAGGGGACAGGGAGGGAGACCCCATGACTCCCTGGCAGCTGACGTGCTGAGGCCCGAGGACCAGGGACTATGTCCTCAAGCCAGTGGTCACTGCCCCGTCTTCCCTCAGCAGTGCAGGACTGGCCAGCAGCTGGGGCGGGGCGAGGTCACCTTTTAGGCCCTCACCCTCAGTGAGCAGACAGAGAGTCCCCAGCCCCAGGAGTCTGGCATCAGCACTGGAAGAACTAGGGAGAGCCAGAAGGGCCAGCGCCCTCCAGGAGGGCTGGCGTGAGCCGAGATGTTCTCCACACTGTCCACCTGGGTCACACTTTGTCAGGAGCAGGCACTGGACTCAGGATAGGCCATACCTGAGCCCAGGTCCCCTCGGATGCAGACGTGGGAAACCCTGGTGGTCTAGCGCTCTTCTTCCCAGCTGAAAACACACAAGCTGCTCGAGAGGTGGCCACACGACTGGCTGCCTGCAGCTAGGGGCAGGTGGCCGGAAAGCCCTTCATGCTTGCTAGGTGTTCCAACTTCTCAGGGGCTAGCTCCATCAACCCCACAACCTCCAGCCCCCACCAGACCAGCACAAAATGACCAGACAGCAGTGTTGCAAACAGATGCCCAAGCAACCTTCCTAGACTCAGCTCCAAGGAGAAGCCTGGCTCCATACTACAGGGCCACCCCCATCCAGCAACACCACAGCCCCAGGGCCCTGCGCCCACCAGACCATGGCCTAAAGGCTCCCTCGCATGGCTGTGAGAGAGACACGGCCCTTGGAGCCACAGCAGCACCTGCCTGGAAATCACGGCAGAGCCAACAGCAGGACAAGGCCCACAGCTTCCCTCTCTAGGTCCCTGTGGCTGTCGCTACAAGAGGGAGGATGCTGAGGGACACTCCTCAGGGAAGGCAGGAGAAGAGAGAGGCAGCCCCCAGAGCACTCCAGAGCAGGCCCAAGCTTCCCTCTCCAGACGGTGCACAGGACACCACGGGCCCAAAGCAGCCTGAGGGCAGGAAACCGGGAGTGTCCACCAGGAGAAGAGGGAGGGCAGGGCACGCTTCACGTCTTCAGACAGGCCAGCCCCAAAGCCACACAGCTCAGAATCCTGACTGTGGTCACCAAGACAGGCGGCTGCCTTCCCAACTGAAACCCATGGGGGCGGGACACGGCAGGAACACAAAGCCATACAGGAGCAGGCATGCCCACGGCCCAGAGCAGAGCAGGGACAGAAGGGCTGGGCAGGCCCCGACGCTCTCAACAGTCATTTCTTTAAAAATTTGAAAACAAAGATGACAGAATGTGAATATTTAACTGTCTGTCTAAACAGCAGGTGTCCCTGTAACACCACTCAGCATGGGACATGGTGATGGTCTGCCTTGTCAAGCCTCTCACATGTCCCACCAGAGGCCCCTCAGTGTGGACATCAGAGGAGCTCTCAGAGGACAGACTCAGTCCTACACTCTCACCAAAGCCTGTGGGCAACATTTTCAACACAAGCCCTTTCTGAGCACAACTTCCTAAACAGGACAGGGAGGACAGACCCAGAAGGCCACCTACCTTTTTATGTCATCTCTGACGGGGTCCACATGGTACCTCAGCAGCTGGAGTTCCTGGCCAGAGGAGAGTAGAATGAAGGCATCCATGTAGTAGAACTGTGCAGATGGCACCGGCTTACAAAGCCTGCCTCTGTCCTGTGGAGCACATCGTCATCAAAATCGCACAAAGGACATGACAGGATTCATCACCTAGGCAGGAGATCCTCCCCAAACACTCAAGTCTATAGATCCTGATCAATAAATGAATTTCAACACCCACATCTAACTTCAGTTCCCAATATACCCTCCACACCCACATCGATCCATCCTCAACACCCACAACTATCCTTCCTCAACACCCACAGCTATCCATCCTCAACACCCACAACTATCCATCCTCAACACCCACACCTATCCTCAACACCCACACCTATCCTCAACACCCACAGCTATCCATCCTCAACACCCACAGATATGTATCCTCAACACCCACAGCTATCCATCCTCAACACCCACAGCTATCCATCCTCAACACCCACAGCTATCCATCCTCAACACCCACATTGATCAATCCTTGACACCCACATTGATCCATCCTCAACACCCACAACTATCCTTCCTCAACACCCACAGCTATCCTTCCTCAACACCCACAGCTATCCATCCTCAACACCCACAGCTATCCATCCTCAACACCCACA